CACAAAATCATATTCCACATTACTACTGTACAATGCATCTAGATGTTTTGGCTTTGAGGGTTTTTGTTAGTTTGTTTGTTTACTCATTCATTCATTCATTCTATTTGCAATATTCTCTTAACTGTAAATGAAATAAAATAATAATAATACAATTTCCCCCAAAAAGTACATACATACATAAATAATACTGTGGTATAAATATCTTATAATTTCAAAAATATTTTGGCACTGGAGATGAGAATTTGGATCTTAAATAGACTTAGTTTTCTTTCAAATATAATCATAATAAAATACAAATAATTTATTTATTTAGTCACACTTTATTTTATGGTCCAATTCTCGCTATTAACAAACCATTAACTATGACTTTTTCCTCAATAAACTCCTAATTTGCTGCTTACTAATAGTTAGTAAGGTAGTTGTTACGTTTAGGCATTGGGTAGGATTATGTAGAATATGTGCTTTATAAGTACTAATAAACAGCCAATTTGTTAATAATAGGCATGCTAATAAAAAAACTAGTTAATAGTGAGAATTGGTCCCTATACTAAAGTGTTACCATTTCTTTCCTTATTTAAATAATCTTAAAAAATGTTGTAAATAGACTTTGTTTTGATTAAAATATCATTATCATTGAAGTAGAATTATTATATATAATATACATCTTTGACTTTGGGGTGATCTGACTTGGCAGGTGAGATTGAGCCGTTTATCTGGTTCACATTAGCTGTGATCAGTGTGTGTCTGATCAGTGACTCACATCAGCGTAGAGTGTGAAATAGCCCTCTGTCCCGGGATGACCCCGTGACGACGGTTGACCCCTGCAATAACGGCCCCCTGGAACTCATTAGGGGCCATGATCGCCACAGACATGACCGGCTCCAGAATCACCACGCTGGACTTCTCAATGGCTGAAGACACAGGACACTCACGTGAAGCTCTGATCGGACGTCAGTGAGAAAGAGTGAATGATCTGCTCATCATGCCCTGTTTGAGAGCGCCCTCTCCTGCCCGGATGAAGGAGATTACGTTAGAGTCCACCATGTGATGAGCTCCGTCCTCCAGGACGAAACGCACTCCAGATATCTTGTGTCCCATCAGAGGACCCTTCTCACATGCTTGTCTGAAACCCTGAGGACAGAAACACACACACACTTCATCAGTGATAGAAATACTCAACCTAAAGCCACACACACACACACACACACACTCAGAGGAATGAGACCCTGACCGTGCTGTGACACTCACGTCAACATGAAACAATTTTAAGAAAGATTACAAAGACAGTTGAGGTTTTTTTTTCTCATAGAATAACATTCACAGATGAATCATTCGCAGTCAGACCAGGAACTCATGAGAGAGTGTATTTTGATTTGGTCTTCTGTATGATGTTGATTGCTGGAGTTTTACCTCTGTCGAGTATCCAAACATGTCATTCAATGGGATCTAGACCACAAAACACCAGGTCCACAGACATTAAGCTGTCCATTATGTCAATATGATCATAATCATATATATATATATATTACTCTCACACAGAACTGCAGAATATGAACCACAGAAACAACAGATAAAATAGGAACTTAGTAACAGATCTCAAATCAATAAAAGATCTGAAAGTCATATTTCACACCAACGCCA